CCAAGACCAAAACTTACTTAGAAGCAATCCTCACCTTCCCTTGTTCTCATACTGGTGCTGACAGTGAGGTCTCTAAGACACAGCCATTATTTACAAGTAACAGCCTTATTGATATGTAAATCACACACCACACAGTCCACCCATGGAAAGTGTGTGATTCACAGCTGCATAACTATCGCCAAATCAGTTCTAAACATTTCCAAGAAGAAACCATAGGTCCTCCTAATTCTTTGCCATACTCCCTAGTGGTAAGCACCATTAATCTACTTTCTGTCTCCACAAATTCACTTGTTCCAGAGAGTACATGTATGTAAAATCAGACACCACACCACCTTTTATGACTGGCTTCTTTGACTCTGTATATATACAACATCCATCCACGCACATATTAGCACTAGATTCCTCTTTATAGCCTAATAATATTTTATAGTCAAAATATATCAGGTTTTGGGGCTGGAGAGATGGCTCAGTGGTTAAAAGCACTGGCTACTCTTGCAAAGGACCCAGGTTTGATTCCCAGCACCCACATGGTGGCTAACAACTGTCTGTAACTCCAGTTCCAAGGGACTCGAACACCTTCTTCCAACCACTGCAGGTATTGCATGACACAGGTGCACTTACATATATGCAGGCAATACACTCATACATATAAAATAAAAATAATAAGTAAAATATTTAAATATATCTGGTTTTATTTATCTATTCACCATTTGACATTCAGGTTATCTCTATTCCTTGGGGATTATAAATAATTCTCCATCATAAAGATTATTTAAAATTTTGTATTACATTCTAATTTATTTATTCTGGTGTGTGTGTGTGTGTCTGTGTGTCTGTGTGTCTGTGTGTGTCTGTGTGTCTGTGTCTATATATGCCTTCAGGTTTGTGCCCTGACTTCCCTCAGTGATAGATTGTGACCTGAGGCCTGTAAATTAAAACAACCTTTCCATCCTGGAGTTGGTTTATCATAGCAACAAAAAAAAGCAATGTAGAACTAGTATATACATATGCCAGGGGATGTACTTGCCTAGCAAGTCCGGGTTCCAACCCTAGCACTGCAACAAAGCAGAGCAAAAGGTAACTCTGTTTAACTGCTTTCCAAAGCAAGCACACTGGAAACTGCCTTACCCTCAGCTATGGGAGAAGGCACCGATCTCTCCATCTTCACCAAAACCAGTCATTATGCTTCTTCCATGGTGGGAATGAAGTGGTGTCTGACTGTTCTTAAACTGCATTTCTTGAGGGCTGATGATGCCAAAACCCTTCTCAAGCACTTCCTGGCCATTAGCATATCTTCTCTGAAGAAACATTTAAGTCAGGTCTTTTATCCAGTTGTAATTGGCTTGTCTTTTTATTATTAAGTTATAAAGGCCCTTAATATGTTCTAGATATAGCTCCTTATCACACATATGATTTGTAACTATTTTTGAGTTTCCTTTTCACTCTGTGTGTGTGAGGTGTATATGTGTGTGGTATATGCACATGTGAGTGCGCCAGGGACGGAATTCACTGTCCTTCCCAGCACCTTGAGTCTTGTTTCTTTTTTAAAAGTAGAGTCTCTTGCTGAACCTGGAGCTTTCATTTCTTTGCTAGGCTGGCAGTCAGAAAGCCCCAGTGATCCTCTGTCTTCACCTCTTCAGTGCTGGGGTTACAGGTGTGCACAGGACCACACAGGCCTCTTTTTAAAATGTGTGTGCTGGGACCAGAGCTCCAGTCCTCAAGGTTACACAGCAAACATTTTTAATGTCTGAGGTCATCTCTCCAGCCCCTCTTCACTTTCTTCATACCGTCTTATAATATACAATAAGTTTTAAATTTTGATAAAGTTTTTCTCTTGTCATTTGTGCCTGTGGTGTTATATCTTTAAAACCATGCCCCATCGAAAGTCATTAAATTTATGCCTATGTTTTCTTCTAATTTCTTTTAAGTTTTTTATAACCTTTAAACTTATAGTTTGATCCATCTTGAGTTAACTTTTGTGTATAGTGTGAGGTCTGGGTTCAGTCTCATGTGGATAGCCAGCTGTCCCGAGGCCAAATGCTGAAGACATTACCCCTTCCTGTGGAACTGTCTTGCTGCACAGTCAAAAAACAATTGACTGTAAATGTGTAGATTTCTTTCTAGACCTTGAGTTACATCCTACACATCTGCATCTCTGACCTTATGCCAATACCACTCTGTCTTGATTATTGTAATTTTTTAGTAAATTTTTAAATCAGGAAGCTGAGTCTTCTAATTCGTTCTTTTAAAGACTGTTGTGGTTATTCTGGTTCCACTGATTTTCCATGTGAATCTTAGGATTAACTTATAATTTTTGCAAAGAATCTACCTGAGGTTTTGTAGAGATTGAATCAAATTTTTAGGTGAAAGTTCTGGAATTTTTTTTATTAGGTAGGGCTTCGATATAGCTCAGGCTAGCCTCAAACTTACCAATCTTTTTGTCTCTACCCCAGCTCCCTTGAGGGCTAGGTTTATAGGCAGGTGCCACTGCACCATTAGAAGTACTGAATTTATAATAATATTAAATATTCTGATTCATGAACATGGGGTGTTTCCACAATTATTTAGGTTTTCTTTAATTTACTTAAGTGTTCTATAGTTAACAGTACACATTTTACACTTCCTTTGTTAAATTTACTCGTCTTTTTTTTTGTATGCTACTACATACAGAAAACATCATTTTACATAATTCATCACAAGTGTAAGAAATACAACTGACTTATGTGACTTTCTATCCTGTGACCTCAGGGACTTACTTATCATCTCTCACAGTTTAGTGAGTTCCTAAGGATTTTCTACACACAAAATAATGCATGCAGAGATAGTTTTATTTTTCCTTTCTAATCTGAAAGCCTTGTATTTTGTTTCCTTATATAACTGCCCTGGCTACATCCTCTAGCACAATACTGCATTAGTTTTCTGATCTCATTAGTTTTGAGGAAGAGACTCCAGGTTCTCCACAGACAAGGAACCAATAAGCTGGATAGACAATGACTGCATAGATGCACACATAGGTCGATGGACAGATTAGAGGTGACTCATCAGGGGTTTTGGCTCTCATGAGCCAAAGCCCCACAAGAGACTATCTGCAGGTTGGAGAGACCCCAGGGTACCTGAAGCATGGCTCAGTCCAAGTCAAAAAGCCTTAGAGTCAGGACTGCCAGTGCAACTCTCAGTCCAAGTTAGGTAGGAAGCATGAGAACCCACATGACTAATGGTACAAGGCTTGCATCTATGACTGCAGAACCCAGAATTCCAACATCCAATGACTGAACAGTAACTGTGTCCTAGCTCCAAAAGAGACAGCAAATTAGCACCTCCATGGCCTTTTGCATCGATCTAGGCCTCAGTTGATTAGATGACGATGCTCACATAATGGAGGGTAGATCCTACCCATCCAATCCATTGACATACATGCCAGTCTCCCTCCCCAAATACCTTTCTCTCTCCCAAACACCTTTCTCTCTCCCTCTCTTTCTCTTTCTCTCTCTCTCTCTCTCTCTCTCTCTCTCTCTCTCTCTCTCTCTCTCACACAAATGTCTTACCAGCTATCTAGGAATGCTTTGATCTAGTCAAGTCAATATCTCAAATTAAGCAGCACAGACACTGGGGGGCAGCAATGATGGTGCTGCACGCACATCCTCCTATCCTCTCTGACATTAGGAGAAAGCTTCCAGCCCTTCATGGTGAAGAAGTCCCTGCCTACTTTGCTGAAGTGCTGTTTTGTTTTTTCAAGCACAACGGGGCACTGGACTCAGTCAGGTATATTCTCTGCATGAGACCCTTTGCTTGCTTCTCCTCTGGATGCTTTTCTTATGTTTTCTGCTTAGCTTGCAGTTTCTCACCTATACAATGTCTCTACTGCAAGGCATTCAATTTCTCCAGCACTCAGTCATTATCAGTATATGAACAAATCTGATGATATCTGTGTACAGTCTAGTACCGCCTGAGTTCACAATTTCTGTTCTTGTAACAATAGCTCCCATAAGCAGATACAATTATCACTGTTTTGCAGGGGAGACATAGGATACGTGTCCTGCTCATGGTCAGGCAGATACAAGAGTCAGACCCAGCATTAAAGCCAGTTCACCTAGCTCCAGGGGCCATTCCCTTAAACCCTTATGGCCATGCACCTTATAACTACTTTTGCTCACTTGTTCATATTTACAACCTGTATATAAGCACTGCCAATCTTATTTATAATTGAACCCTGGCATCATGTGTGGCTATTCAGAAAATATCTAACTAAAGTGGAATGTTGGCCAGAAGCAGAGATACAGAGGACCATGGTAAGCTCTGCTGACTATACACACCATGCAGATTTTTAAAGTCCGTTGGTTTCAAGAAAGACCAGTTATCTTCAATTCAGTGTTCCCCAATCACCTGAGTGCAGATCCATCTTCTATCACTCAAACCCACTGCATTGATATCCAGGAAGCTGTACTCTAATTTCACCTGGAAAGATTCTACCCTGAAAGGTAGGCCAATCACAGGGTTCCTGGAAGCACAGCTTGGCCTCCCTTTATGCACTGGCTCTGCTCCTTCTTAAAAAGTCTAAATTAAGCTGAGTTTTAAAAGAACATGCCTGTAATCTCAGCACTCAGAAGGCAAAAGCAGGAGGACAAGAGTTTGAGGCCAGCCTGGGCTACATAGCGAGATTCTGTCTCAAAATACCAGAAAGTCTAATTTAGAGTCAGTCAAAGCTCTTTCAGGACTGTAACTCCATTCAGGAAGAAAACTCAGCATCATCTTTTCCTTTTGTCTCCTGGCATTCCAAAAGGGAACATTGGGATCCAGGACAGCTAAGGACCCCCTGACCTTGTGAGTCTGTGAGCATATGCTCACCCCAGGCTCATCTTACACCTTCTCAGAGCTCTGGTTCATTGAATGTCAGTCAGATAGGGCCACTCCTCATTGTGTACCCGAACCTGCTCTCAGAAAGCAGGCTAACCCTGTGATGTACTAGCTCTAAAACATTTATGTCTTTCCCAAAGACTGACCTTTGTGTGACAGTTAAATCATGGCTGACACCTTCAGCATCATTTCTTCAGTTTTCTAGTCTTCCAGGTTATCTACTTGAACTCTGGAAAAAAGAAAGAAAAAAGAAGCTCTTACTTTGAGGTCTGAGAAAGACGAGAGCAAACAAGATAAGGCCATGTGGGAGCAAAGCAGGATGCCCCGCTCTGATTAATCTGCTACTGCAGCTATGAGGCTCAGGCCTGGGATTAAAACTGGGCCACCTCGCTCCACAGACTGTTCCTTTTAGCACACTGAGACTTGAGAAGCAAAAAGATGCATTGGGCTCATCTGGGAATTAGAAACCACATCCAACAAGCACTAACGATTCTTTCGAGAAAGAGAGGTGCTGGGTGTATAGAGGTTGGAGCAGCCACATAAGACGTCCAGAATGAGGGACTTAGTAAACTTTCTCTGTGCATTGATTCCAGAAAGGGACCATCTTCAGCCAGTACTTATTTCCCTCAAAGGTGAGGGACCATGGGAAGACTCCACCTGTACTAGAATGTATCAGAATACAATGACTGTCAACATGCATGTCTCCATGTGATTTGCCTAGTGAGGTGACTTGTGTATGAAAGAGGGCTCACCGGGTAGTCATTCCTCACATTTGAAATGGAATACCATGTGGCATTCAGATGGCTCAGGTGAGAGGAATACTCAACACAGCAAGGCTCCTATCCCAAGATGTAGAGGAACACAGTGAGCTGTGGCTTCCTTAGGGGGACCCTAGGACAATGTTGTTTGGGGCTCCTCAGTTGTTTCTACCTATTCCATCCCAAGTCTGTTCATCACTTCATATGACCTTTTAAAAATGTTATGGAAGGAGTTCACGTGGGCACACGAAGGCCCTGCTGTGGACAGCAAGCCAGAGATGTACCACTATTGTGAACAACCCACATCAGAAGTGTGCTCGAGCTGTTGCCCAGACAATGGGACTCATTTCCAGAACCAGACCCACAGGAAATGGATGAGGGAGTCAAGGTGGCAAGAAGTCAGCCCATGTGGAGTTCAACATGGCAAAATAGCTGTCACTGCCATGTGGTGAAATTTAGGCAGGCATTAACTTATTACTGGAAGTCACAAAGATGGCTGCAGTACAAATGAACTACTGGGGTTAAACAGGCGGTTCTTTGTATCAACAACAACAAAAAATCATGGAGCTGGAGAGATGGTTGAGTGGTTAAGAGCACTAGTTGCTCTTGCAGAGGACCTGGGTTTGATTCCCAACACCCACATGGTGGCTAACAACAGTTCCAGAGAATTTGATACCCTCTTGTGTTGATACCCTCTTCTGGCCTCTGTAGGCATTGTGCCCATGGGCATACATACATACATACATACATACAATAAAATAAAAATAACCAAAAAAATTATTTTAAAAATCATGTTCTCTTGCCCCCACCCCCCATAAATCTGTTTGTTCATTACTAAAAAGTTTTGGAGGCCTTGTAAACCAGGCTAGACCAACTGAACCTGCCTTTTCCCCTGGGGCTCTTCTCAGGCATCCTAAACTGTGGAGGAATTTGCCTGCTTTAGAAGAAGAGAACCAAAGATGGAAAGGGTCAAGAGAACAAAAGAGACAGGGTAAGAGAAAACACAGGCGGGTGAGGAATTCTCATCTCTGTATCATAGGAGCAAGGCTGCTGCCCAGACAGCAGGTCTGTGTCTGGTCACCTCCCTCCAGAGCCTCCTAAACTTGAAGTGTGCATAAGAGTTGCCTTGGGCTATACAGGTACAGGTTGAGGTAGAAGAAATTCTTCAGCAAAGATCCTTAGCCCAAGCACCAGGAAGGATTCTGAAAGCAGCCAAGAGCCACACTTTTGTCATAGGAATGTGGCTGTCTCAAAGACAAAGGGCAGACTTGGGTCACTAGACAATGATACTTCCTCAGTCCCTCTAGTGCCTTCATAAGAAACAAAACAGCCTGTTTACTCTAGCAGGATAATGGAGGGGAAAGAAAAGAGCGGGTATATAACCAGGAAAGGGTCTAGAGTTAGTGACGTGGTGAGACTGAATAAACTAGTTAAAGTGGTATAAAGGCAGGAAAAAAAATCTGGAGAAAAAAAAAAAACAAGGTACCTAATGAAGAGTGAATGCCCAGTGTGGTTAAAGAAAAAGGAAGAGATGGAATAAGGCCCTGGAGGAAGGTCTTGTCTACCTTTCCAGGGCTCGTCCTCTTTCTCAATCTGTGTAAAAGTTCTGTTAAGACTATATCAAGAGCAGTGCAAGTGGGGGTGGGATGTGTGTGTGTGTGTGTGTGTGTGTGTGTGTGTGTGTGTGTGCAGAAAAAAGGCCTAAGCTTTAGCAGAGTTGTGAAAGGCCTATAGAGTTGGCAGAAGGCATGGTTGCTCACAGCAGATGGATGCTTCCAGTGTGTTTACTCATGCACCACTGAACTACTGCCTCTCAGGAGCACAGTGGACCCTCCAACCAGGCATCTAATGGTCCTGCTCTAGAGATGAGGAATGTCACAGTCATGGGACCTGGCTGCTAAACTCTGGTTACTTCCCAACCTCTTCCCTAGAAAGAAAGCACATTCTTGGACAGTTTCACAGAGCCTTGGGCACTTCCTCCAAACCCTCAAGCAAATCTCAGATGCTTTTCAGGACTCTACCTACGCACCTCCTCCAGGGCCTCTCTCGTGCATACACCTGCCTATCAATGAACAATACAGTGGCAGTCAGGTTATCCTCCCAAGATTGGTTTCCCGTTCTCTGTGGATAACCAAATCCACAGATGTTCAAGTTCCTTCTGCTGCATGATAGAGATTTTAATAACCCACATCCTCCCAAAAGCCGTCAATCATCTGCAGATGGTGTGTACTTCCTCATACAATGTAGGTGCTAGGGGGATCGCAGTCCCATCACAGTGCTTAGAGAATGATGCTGAGGAAAGACACCTCTGTGCATGTTTAGGCCAGAGGCAGGTTTTTTCCTCTGAGTATTTTTGGTCTGTAGGTGGATGAATTCAAAGGTGTGGAACCACTGGATTAAGAGAGCTGACCATAATTCTCAACCATTAGGTCTGGATTAGCCTCAGCAATAATAAACATAGAGAATAATCATAATTATTTGACCATTTCTAAAAATCAAATGTCTCCTGTATGAAATTGCCAAAGAACAAATTCAATAAAAAAATAAAATAAATGTATCCAAATGGACCAGTAAACCCTACATATTAGATAGAGTTCCATTGCTGGGAGCTATGTTATGGCCTATAGTTATCACTGTGTGCCTGTTAACAGAGTGGGAACAGCCTGGCTCTCACACATACACTTGAGTGGTACCTACGGCTTCTCAATCTGCTAGCATTAAACCTAGAGTCAACCAGGTGATAGAAAACCTTTAGTAAGCAACTAGATTATCAGGGGAAAGAGCCAAGTTTTAAAGCAAAAGACAAGGGCAACAGTAGAAAGGTGCTGTTGAGAGACAGGCAGCAGAGACAGGGCAGGGAAGGGCTCCCTTCAAAACCCTCCAAGCCTTCAGTGTCTTCAGAAAGTGGGAAGGACAGTTCTCATGGCACACTGGGGCTGCTGTGCTTCATTGTGTCTGTGTGTGTGTGTGTGTGTGTGTGTGTATGTGTGTGTACACAAAATTGAGACAAAGAACACAGACTATCCTAACAGTACTAAGCATCCACCCATGTTATTTGACAAGCAAATGATGTGATTTTGCGATAAGGGGCTTGTAATAATTTTACACACCAGGATAATATCTATTTTCCTAAATATCAGAAGTAAATATCTAAGTCCAAGCCTTCAGTGTCTTCAGAAAGTGGGAAGGACAGTTCTCATGGCACACTGGGGCTGCTGTGCTTCATTGTGTCTGTGTGTGTGTGTGTGTGTGTGTGTGTGTATGTGTGTGTACACAAAATTGAGACAAAGAACACAGACTATCCTAACAGTACTAAGCATCCACCCATGTTATTTGACAAGCAAATGATGTGATTTTGCGATAAGGGGCTTGTAATAATTTTACACACCAGGATAATATCTATTTTCCTAAATATCAGAAGTAAATATCTAAGTTGTTAGTGTTTCATGTCTTATTATGTATTATTAAAGTTGACTTAATGTAGAGTACTTGAATTTCACATGTATTTGCTCCTCTAAAGTCAAACTGGGGGTTTTGATAAGCAAGACTCTTCTTTGATATGTCTCTGATATGTATGTCTCTAGAGTTTCATGGCACCTGTCCAGTGCTCAACAGACAGGAAACAGGGGGCAGTGAGCAGCTCATTCCCTGTGAGGCTTCCAGTTACTGGCTACAAAGGTGCTCACCATCAAAATAGCAACTGACTTGGTGGACACACAAAACAGAGGAAGCTAAAATAAGCACCAGAATTCTCCCTTTGAGGTCCAGAACTCTACCATCCCTCTGTCCTTGGGGACAGCTTCCTTCTGGGACACACTCTCCATTTTGTGGGCTTTCAGCTGTTACTATATGTACATATACATACTTACATTCATACTTGTAGACGTGTGTGTGTGTGCACCTGTGTGTGTGTGTGTGTGTGTGTGTGTGTGTGTGTGTGTGTGTAAGTTTGAAGGTGTAGCCTGGTGAGAGTTTCTGAGCTCACAGTCCTGGCTTCAATCCTCAGCACTGCCAACAAACAAAATCTTTGGTGACTTCTACTTTCTTATAAACAACCTTGAAATGAATGAAGGAGTAGCAAACACTGAAGAAAATCTCATCTTGCTCTGTGATAGACTATTATCTAAAGCATCAGAATACATGATCCAACTTTAACGTAATTTGACAAATATGAGTATAAGAAGGATAAATATTTATGTGGCCAGGTGTGGTGGCGCACACCTTTAATCCCAGTATTCGGGAGGCAGAGGCAGGTGGATCTCTGTGAGATCGAAGTCAACCTGGTCTACATAGTGAGTTACAGGCCAGCTGGGGCTGCAGGGAGACCCTGTCTCAAAAGGACAAAAAAAGACAACAAAAAAAAATGATAATAATTACAAAATACAATTTTTCTATAATGAACTAAGTTTCTTAAAATTTATTTTTATTGTATTTATACAAGTGTTTTGCCTTCATGTATATAGGTACACCA